GGAACAACACACACTGGGACCTATCAGAGGGTGGAAGTTGGGAGAAAGAAGAAGATCAGGAAAGATAACTAATGAGTACTATGCTTAATACCTAGATGATGAAATAATCGATACAACATACCTCCATGATACAAATTTACCTATATAACAAATCTGCACACATACCTGTGCACTTAAAAGAAAAGTTCAGTGGCTAATATTTGTCAGAATGAATCATTTATTTCCTTAAATATGTAGCCTTCCTCTGTCTTTACCCATTTTAAAAAATCCTTTTCTTAACCCCCTCTACTTCTTCTTTATGTGTAGCATAAAACTGCAGAATTCAGGGTTTGAATGTATAAGGGTTAAGGAAACTAATGTGTATTGAGATCCTCGTGGAAGACACATTTTATATGTATAAATGCCTAAGGTATGGACTCGCTTTTTGGAATTTTGTTTAGAATACCACACGATTAAAATGCTAAAAGAAAGATGTCATATGAGGGGAAAATAGTTGTAAATTTGGACTGCATGTTATAATTTCCATTCTGAATGTAAAGAATTGAATATTAATAAGGCATTAAATGAAGGCTTTTTTTTTAAACAGTGATAATGCCTCTGATTCTAGTTTAAAAAAATGGGAGAACTGTTATTGCATTTTTATATTAGCACACTTTCTGAAAAGCAATTAAATTTCCTCGCCACCTCAGTTTTTAGAAAGCAAAAGGTTAGAAAATACAATAAAACTGAACATAATCTCCAAAAAACCTGAAAGTCATTGGACTGTGAGATATTTGAAATCATATCAAAAAGCAGAATTTATAGCCCTATGACTTATGGAAAAGGAAATGGAACTGTGTTTTATTTTTAAAACATAACCACTAAAATGGTGTTTCCATAGTAACAAGGTCAATACCAGTAGCCATTACAGATCTTCCCCTTTTCGGATGGTGGGTTTAAAGATCTTTTTCAAACACCACTTTAAAAGACCTATGAAAAAAACACAGGTTTTCTGATCATTCATCTGAACCGAAAATGAAGAAAACCACACATGGAGTATTGAATTTCTCATGTTTTATGGATGACAAGCATTCATCGCTGTCGTATTTTCAGAAAGAAGCCCTGCCTGACTAGCTACCATGCCAACTCCTGAACTTGGGATTTGATTAGCCTGATTGTAAACCAGGATGAACAGAAGTTGTTTGCAGTAGTATTCAAACAGACATCAAAGGTGGCACAGTATTAAAAAACATACTTCTTTAACATCTAAATATTGAAAGAGTTAAGTAAATAATCCTTGTTATTAAATTTCAAAGGCTCAGATAAAATACTGTATCGCTACTAGAGGAAGGGCAGACAGATGTAGGCCACATTTTGTTGACAACAGAACTAAATAGCTCTTTGGCCATAAAAATCAGTTCATTGAGCCCCACCAGGAAGTGGACTGCCCTTTCTTTTTTCTCTATATCAAGGTACACTGCCTCTATGAGAGTCATTTGTATAGCTTTGTCTTCTTCACTAAACTGCGAGCCCCTGGAAAGCAGAGATATTTTCTTTCTCTATGTATTCATGACAGTATTTCACACGGTATTTTGTACATAAAAAATACTGGAAAAAACAAGCAGAGAATGCATCATGAAAAATGATCACAAAACAGTGACTAAAATAACAAAATCTCTGGTTTAATTTTAGAAACAGTGTATCAGTTAAAAATATGTACTCATGATTTTAATCTCTTTAAACCAAGAGACTTTAGAATCTTTGTTCATAGAATCCCCAACAGCGAAATAATGAATCCAGTTGCCTGCCCCCTAGATCAATTCCTTCAGAATCTCTACAGGTGGGGCTCTGGCATCAGTATTTTCTAAAGTTACTCAGATGATTTTTATGTGAAACAAGTGTTGAGAATCATTGCTTTACACAGTTCTCCCATGGTGCAACTGAGGATTAATTTACTTCCTGTGTTAGCTATATTTCCCCCGCAATATTGCCTCATAATACTATATTTAGCAAACCTATAAGAACTTTTGTTATAACCCAATGATTTTTCCCTGTAAACATTTTTTTATAATAAAAAGTATCAATTAAAACAGTTTGGTCTTACACAATTAAAACTTTTAGCCCAAATTATCATTTATAGTATTCTGTTTAATATACTTATTAGCTTTCTGTTACTGTGAATTCAGCTTTAAAAACCAGAGCTGGGCCGGGTGCGGTGGCTCAAGCCTGTAATCCTAGCACTTTGGGAGGCCGAGACGGGCGGATCACGAGGTCAGGAGATCGAGACCATCCTGGCTAACACGGTGAAACCCCGTCTCTACTAAAAAATACAAAAAAATTAGCCGGGCGAGGTGGCGGGCGCCTGTAGTCCCAGCTACTCGGGAGGCTGAGGCAGGAGAATGGCGTAAACCCGGGAGGCGGAGCTTGCAGTGAGCTGAGATCCGGCCACTGCACTCCAGCCTGGGCGACAGAGCGAGACTCCGTCTCAAAAAAAGAAAAAAAAAAAAAAAAACCAGAGCTGAATACAGTACCAACATAACAGACAATAAATAAATATCAGTAGAATCAGTAAATAAATATCAGTAGAATTAAGTATATGTTTTTGTGCTTTTATACATACTTTTCCCTGAGTCTGTAATGCATACAGACTCACACCCTCTATGTATCTGGAACAATTGCAATTCATCTTTTAAAACACACAGATCATATTTTTCTTCCTCCAGGAAACCTTCCCTGATGGGGATAGATCATTAAGCACCCTCTACTTTGGCACTGTCTTTGCTTCCCTTTCATGCTTCTGCTTTGCACTTATCACCTTGTACTGTCATCGATTTTTCTTCCTTTTTTTTTTTTTGGTTTTAATATAAGCCCTTTCTCCATTGTTGATTGTGAATAATTGGAAGCAGGTGCTAATTCAGGCCTCTCTCTGCTTTTTCTCTCAGGGCACAACACAATCACTGGAAACAACAGAAACTCAGTAAGTGTTTACTAAAGTGAATGAATAAATGGCCATATTGAAGTGAAAGAGGCGCATTTCAAAACCACTAACTTAGGCCAGGCATGGTGGCTCACACCTGTTAATCCCAGCACTTCGTGGGGCTAAGGCAGGACTGTTTGAGGTCAGGAGTTCGAGGCTGGCCTGGGCAACATAGTAAGACTCTATCTCTACAAAAAAATAAAAGAAAAAATTAGCCGAGTGTGATGGCACATGCCTGCAGTCCCAGCTACACAGAAGGGTGAGGCAGGAGGACTGTTTGAACCCAAGAGTTCAAGGTTGCAGTGAGCTATGATTGTACCATTGCACTCCAGTCTGGGTGACAGAATGAGACGCTGTCTCCAAAAAAAGGTAAAAACAAAACAAAACAAAAAAACCACTAATGCTATGAATTGAATTGTGTCCCTCCAAATTTACATGTTGAAGTCTTAACTCTCACTGTGCTGGCATTTGGAGTTGAGACCTTCGGGAGACTTTGAGAGATAATTAGGGTTAGATAAGTGCATGAGGGAAGGGTAGAGCCCTCAATACGGGACTGGTGCCCTTATAAGAAGAGACACCTGAGATCTTGCTGGCTCTCTCTGCCATATGAGAACACAGGAGGAAGACTGCCCTCAACAAGGCAGGAAGATGGCCCTCACCAGAATCCTATCATGCTGGCACCCAGATCTCTGACTTCCAGCCTCCAGAACTGAGAAAATACATTTCTGTCATTTCACATTACTTGGTTTATATATTTTTTTGTTATTCTGAGATGACCAATACAACTGTGGATCAGGATTAAATTATTTGAAGAAAAAAATATAAACATTACAGGTATTTATGCTTTCTCTCCTTTACTTCAATCCTTTAAAAATACGCATTTGCTTTTTCAAAGAAAAGGCTATATCAAATGCACTTAGACGGGATATTTCATAGATATTTCATGCTTTTTCCCCAATTAGCCTGAGGCCTTTTTTTTTTTTTTTTTTTTTTTTTTTTTGGTATTTTCCTGATAAACTAAGAAGCCTATCAGTGGAAAATGAATTAATTTTGCAGAGCAACAATTAATCAATGAGAAAACATAAATTACCTTGGCCACTGCATTAACAATTAGGGCTATTCATTAGGTTTCCTTTTATGTTTTTTCTTACAGATGTCATTCATTAAAAACCCAGTATTCCTTGCACTGTGCTAAATATTACATCTTAAATTAATTTTTCTTTGTCTTGCTTAGAGAAAACATTTAAGATACCTTGGAAACTCCTTAATGTATTATTTATTTATTCAACTAATATTTATTGTGAATTGTGGAAACCAAATTCAGTGTTTAAAGCCTATCTAAGCTGGTTTCATTCTAGCATTTTCTTGGGACCGTGACTATGAACTGCCCAGTCCGTATCTGGGGAATGTACTGTATAAGCAAAGCATACACACAGTGTAGTTTAGATTGACAATACACACACTTTTAAATTTCATGAATGAATAACATTTTTACAATTGGGGGAACTAATACCAATTTGTCAACATTTTACCTGACCAAATAATAACAGTAAAAAGAAACAAATACCACTATCAGTCTTTATCTTTAGTTCACAAATGATGAGTATTTTAACACAAAATAATTAAGGAAAATAATCAGAAGAGAATAAAGGGTGGTTTTCAAAGTGTTCTCATTTTGTTTAGTGGATAAAAACATCCACTATGTCCCTTATTCTTCTTATTTCAGTCCAAATTAGTGAAACTTTGTTCCTCTTTTCAACTATTCAAAATTCCTTTCTTATTCTAATTCTAATTATTTCTTATTCTAATTGTTTAGGCCATTAAAATAATAAGTAAACCTGGTTTAATTTTTTGTAGCTTTGTAGAGTCCAAATGAAAAATGCATGTTTACCGACCTGTAATTATTTTACCTCATTTTGTCAAATACCAAAGATAAATGATATTTCTGATACCATGGTTACTTTATATTTCTGCATCTATGCCCTCTAAGTATCTATGTGAAGGCTATAAACCAAAGACTAACAAATATAACAACAAAACTTACATGTGTGGACCCAATGAAATTGCCCTCGCCATTACAATTCCAAGAATCAGAGTTGTTAAACCTGTAGAGATGAGGGAGACCTGTCAAAGAAAATACAAGGATATTGCCAGTTTAGGACAGAAATTATTTTACTTTAAATGTTAAGTCTTTCTCGTTTTTAATTGGGTAAACTTACATATAGATTTTTCTGCCTAATTCTTTAGTAGGTTATTCTTGAAGCTTGGTGTTGATAATCTCAGGCAGGTAACTTCTTATCAGATCATAGTGTTGGTCCCTGCACCCACCCCAAGTAGGTGAGCAAGTATTATATATGACTGTCATCACCATGCAATACGGCTTTGAAAATTTTTAGTGGCTCCTGCACGGAATACAAAACTGGTGATTTTAGCTTATCAAAGTAAAAGTGAAATTATGTTTCCTTTTTTCTTCAAGTCCTATTTTAGTGTTGACATGTGCTTTTTCACTATCTATAATTGCTGCTTCTACTTGTCTTACTCTCTTTCTTCCAACATCACACACATTCCTCCCCTCCTTTTAAAATTTATTTTTATTTTTATTTATTTATTTTTTTGAGGAGGAGTACCTCAGTTTTTTCCTCTCTGCTCTCCAGCACTACTTTTCCTACATGGTTTTGCCCTTTGGTCTGTGTTTCTAGGCCTGTTTTGCTTCTTCTTCTCTGTTCTGTCATTATGTCAACTGGTTAAAATATAAACTGGTCTGTGTGTGTTTGTGCCCTGTGCACTCATTATGCTAGGTTTGTGTGTCTAGTCTTAATATTTTTAAATGAATAAGCACATTATGGATCCTTTCTCTGATAAGAAAAAATAAATATAAAACTGCTTGTATTTTATGTGAGTCTCATTAACCTTGTTTTCTAAGTTGTTAATTTTTAACTAGAAAGAAGTTTCTATTAGGAATTGGCTTATCTTCTGAGGGAGAGAGAGATTAAACAACATCCCCAAGGTGACACAGCTGGAACGTGGCAGAGAGGGAACTCAGATACAAGCAGCCTGACTGCAGATTAGGGCTCCTAACCACTCTGCTTTGCTCATTGAGCGATTTATTTAGCTATCTCAATATGACACTTTTAAGGGGGATTTAGGAAAAAATGCCCAGGTATTAATAATATGACAGAATGTGAATAGCCTTCCTTTTATGAACGCCTCGCTCTCTGCTCAGAAGTTAACATTTATGTGTACACTGAATATGTGAAACGGAAAATAGTTCAAACATTTTATATAATTCACAAAAAGGCATGTTTTGATACAGACTTGTTTGTTTCTGGATGGCTATTAGGGATGGTCAGAATACTCTGATATATTATGTCTACCCTCAGCTCTACCTGGAAGGATGAACTTCATAACTGGATACACAACATCAAACATCACAGTGAAAAGTAAAATTCAGTCAAATGTTGGATTTTTCAAAATAGAATATAAAAATATTATATAAATAACTCTTTAAAAAAATATCTTGTCAGAATGTTTGGCATTATGTAGACATAGTACCAATAGTATTTTGGGTAAAATACAAATATTCCTTGAGAGTAAGTGCAAATGAGTATCTGTAGCGAACTGAATAATTATTTAATTGTTTCCATTAGAAGAGTTCAGTATTCCTCTTTAGTAATACGAATCATAAATATTGGCAAAATTCTCAAAAATTGACCAATCAACACATTGAAAATCAAATTCACTGGATGAAAAATAAGCACAATAGACATTGTAATTTACAAATAAATATATTTTAAGCCATTGAAGTGATTCATTGTTGCTTCTTAATTTTAAATTGTTTAAACTACCTACACAAAAGATGGAACACTTTTCCAATAAATTAGATTTGCTTTAAATATAGTTATTTTTATTTTCTAAATTTAAAATGTGTTGTCTGACATCAGGGTATCTACCTTAAAAAAGAAAAAGGAAGAATATATTTAGTTCATACTCATCAACTATTTAACCATCAGTTCTCACAAACTAATGATTCAAACAGTTTACTCTAGCATAACCATTAAATAAACTAGAAGAAACTAAAGATGAATACTGTCATTAAGAACTTTGTCAAGTAGACAGTAGCTTACTGCAGGCAACAAGGTACTTTTCTATGACAATTTAAAATGTAAAAATTACCTTTCCAAGCTTCGCTATATTTCGGTACAAGGATAAAGGCAGAGTAAAGGTAACTGTGGAAAGCCCAATAATGAAGTGGCGACCAATAAATACGTTTTCAGGATCAACTAAAACACAATAAATATTAAATATTACAGGTATAAGTAACACATTGGTGACACACTAAATAGCCCAGCATTTAATTATAAACATTACTTAAACATAAATACTACCTCAATGACAATGATTTTGAGTTAATACTCTCCATAAAACCATGTAAAAATAAAAATAAATCACAATACAAATACAAAAAAACTTCAGGATGACTTATACTTCAAATGATGTTATAATATTTCACACTGAAATTATTTTACTAGCCTCCTTACCAGTTTTCATGCTTCTGCCTTCCTTTGTCTTCTTACGGTATACTCTTAACCCAGAAACTACAGAATTCCTTTTCTAAGGTAAAAAACATTATGTCATTCCCTGCCCAAAACCCTTTAATGACGAAATCCTTCAGGTAGAAAGTAAGCTATAGGTGGATGCTGCATTTTCTAAGGTTTTTTTGTTTGTTTGTTTGTTTGTTTGTTTTTCTGTATGCAAGAGACTTGGACAGTAATACTTTAACAAAATTTCCAAAATAAAGATTTAGATAAAAATATTTAATATATTTCTATACTTTTGTCAAGAAAAAAGTGGTTTCCCTGATTGGCAGAAGCAACATACTGGATAGGGCAAAAGTCACAGGGAAGCTGCTGTAACTGGTAGATGTGGCAGATTCTTGGCTATGGTCAAATACAAATAGAAAATTATATATATCGAAAATCATATATATATAATATAATATAATTATATTTGTGTGATTATAAATATATAATATACATTATATATTAATATACAACATATAAATTAATATATAATATATTATATCATATATAACATATATAATTATATGTGTTGTTTGTATAATCAAATATAAACAGAAGTTTTAAATCTAAAATGAAACATACAAGGATTTATATATTTTTAAAGGTGTGCTAATTAAAATAGTCACTTAAGGAGCTATATATCTATTTCAATGAAGACACTACTGTTTAAATTTTGAGCTCATATTAAATTTCACTCAGAGATCATGTCATTATATTGTTGCAATGTCTTCAGTGGTACCAAGTCATTGTGCATCAATTTCTGCATAGTCTAAAGTCTACAGAGATCCAGTCTTAAATAAGTGAATGACTGTGGTAAGAAAATAAAAGCTGTTATCCTAAACAATGACACTAATTTTCTTAGATGGCTAATAAACTTACAAGAAAGTTTCAAGAAAGAAATTTCAAAATGACATAGGTTTTTACCACATATATGTATTATATATATGGTTAATAGATTATTATTATTTTCTATATGTGTATATATATGTATATGATGTGTATATATGTGTATGTGTGTACATATATATTATATATATGGAATGGAATATTTAATTATTAATATTAATGGAATACTTGAACTCAGCCATAACTAGTCATTATAAAATTAAGAATTGAAACAAAACAGGAAAATCAATTCCAAAATCCCTGAACTCACTATTTACATATTTGTGGTGAACATAATTTGAACCAAATTATTTGTGTATCTATTTCTATTTACTCTTTACACCTTTTGCTTCACTGGCAAAGTGAAGGGCTAGATAAACGCTGACACAGACTGCTGTGATCAACAGGTAGGAGCCTAATAACTGAGGATCCCATTTGCATAAAGGATGTTTTTCACTAATGATCTAATGATGAGATCTATTACCTAAATGGACCTATCAAAAATGCAACCAAGTATGCATTTTAAATGTTTAAACAACAGTAAAGAAAGGTGAAAATTGAAATTTTTGAAAATAAAATTTTTGTAAAAATTTAAAAGCATGTAAACATACTATTTTTTTTCCCAACATTTCTTGTTACTTTGACTTATATCAAGAGCTAAGGTTTTGGCTACCAGAGAAAAGTATAAGCAATTGCCTACTTGCCAATTTATTAGTGATGTATTTCAGAATAAAAATAGAACTTTGATAAGAATTTTATAGTATCTGCTTCTAAAAATACTCTGGCATAATATTATGCCTCACAAGATATACAAACAGAGTGAACATTATAAACTGTCACACCCCAAAAGGGTGAAGATGCTGTAAGAATAAAGTTGTGTTCCTTGCCACATGACCTACATTTTTAAAAATCATTTTTGATGATTACAAAATTGATAACCTGGAAGAGGGCTTCAAGGGACCATTAGCCTGTTCTATAATGTTTTGTTTTTATGAAGAGTGTTATACATACATTGCTTGTATAATTAAAAATCAATAAAAATTAACAATCAAAATGTTTCTATCAAGGGAAGTTAAATTAATTATGGCCACTCTAACTGTACAGTAGGTACTGTACAGAATACTGAACTTGCATTAAAGCATTTATATATTTATGTTTTGATATGAGAATATGTTCTTAAAATATTACTAAGAGAAAGAAGCGTGTTACAGAACAAGATGTATGACGTTATATTATTCTTACGAATATCTGAAATTACATGTATTCTTAAAACTCTGAAAGTATACATTAAAAGATAAAAGGAAGGATGGAAGGAAGAGGAAAAACAGGAGGGGGTTGAAAGGATGGTTACCACCTGGTTGTCCCAAGAGGAAGAGATTATTAGTCTTTTCTATTTTCTCCATTTTGCTTGTCTGTGTTTTCTAATATTTTTCCAATAAATCGGTGCTACTTTTTGAATAGGAAAATACAGTAATAAAATATATTTTTAAATTAGTAATTCTCTTTTGAAAAACTTTAGAGGTCAGGTGAGATGGCTTATGCCTATAATCCCAACACTTTGGGAGGCTGAGGTGGGTAGATCGTTTGAGCTCAGGAGTTCGAGACAAGCCTGGGCAACATAGCAAAACCCCATCTCTACAAAACCGGGCATGGTGGTGTGCACCTGTAATCCCAGCTACTTGGGAGGCTGAGGTGGAAGGACCACCTGAACCCGGGAGGTCAAGACTACAGTGAGCCAATTATGCCATTGCACTCTAGCCTGGGTGACATAGTGAGACCCTGTCTCAAAAAAAACAAAAACAGAAACAAAAACAAAAAACAGAGAAGAAAAGAAAAACCCTTAAGAAAAACCTTGAAAAATAACACAGAAAAACCGCCACAAAAATCCCATGGATCTCATGATTAGACGATAACCACAGTTTATACATAAAAGTATTTCTTTCTTATTTTTTCTTACTTGTTTATGCAAATAGAAAATTTACATAATTTAGATTATATCGTATGTCTTGTATTATATTCTGACCACTTTCCCTTAGCATTCTACCCACTTACGTGGCCTCAGCTTATGCATTCATGCTTTGGAGTTTGGGGGCTGGCACAGAAGCTACAGACAGTTCAGGGTAACAAAAATCATGACTAACAGTACTGGGTAAGTCTACTGTGTGCTAGGAACTACCTGTCTCACCTCTTTTGCTTCACACAACTATTCTATGAAGCAGATGATATTCTGATTCATAATTTAGAGATGAGGAAACTGGAACTTGGAGAGGACAACTAACCTTCTCAAGGTCACACAGCTGGTCATTAGTGAGTCTGTGATTTGACAGCTATGTCTCCATGATCTCAAGTTCCACTAAACCATGTGTGAGGAATAGGTGTACTTTCTGGCTCTAGATTTTGTTTCGTTTTGTTTTGTATGTCTCTAAAATGAGTGATTCAAGCACTAAGAGGAAAGGTGTTTTTGCATCAATCTCCTCAACTGTAATAGCAACTAGAGAGAGTGTCACAATGAAAGAGGGATTATGTAGCTTGGATGAGAAGCTCTTCAAAGCAAAAAGACACATGATCTCTGAATTATTCTAAAAGCTATCACATAGTGAAAAGTTGAACAGGGAGTGGAGTTGTAGCAATATGTTGAAAAGGTCTACTTGAGAATGTTCACACTGGCTTTTTTGCAATTACCCTAAACTGGAAACAACACAAATGTCCCTCAACTGGGTGATAGATACACTATTGTACATCCATAAAATGAAATGCTTCTCAGAAATAATTTGTTAAAAAGAGCAAACTACTGATATATCTAAAGACACAGCTGAATCTCAAATACACCTTTCTAAATAAAAGAAGCCAGACTCAAAAAAGCTACATATGGTATGATGTCATTTACCTGGCATTCTGAAGAAAGCAAAACTATAGGGAGAGAAATCTCATCAGGAGGTTGGCAGGGGGAGCTGGAGATTAGGGTTTGACAACAAAGAGAAATGGGGGAAACTGGAGGGAGTGATGGAATTGTTCTGCATTATTTTTATTATTTTTAGAGACAGACTCTCTGTATGTGGTTCACACTCCTGGGCTCAAGCAATCCTTCTGCTTCAGTGTCTGGAGTAGCTGGGACTACAGGTGCACGCTACTGTGCCTGGCTTGTTGTTCTGTATTTTGATTGCAGACGTGGTTATATGACTATATGCCTTTGTCAAAACTCACAGAATATAGGTTTTGGGGTTTTTTTGTTTGTTTGTTTGTTTGTTTTTTTGAGACAGGGTCTCACTCTGTTGCCCAACCTGCAGGGCATTGGCATGATCACAGCTCTCTGCAGCCTCCACCTCCTGGGCTCAAGTGATCCTCCCACCTCAGCCTCCGAAGTAGCTGGAACCACAGGTGCAGATACCATGTCCTGCTAATGTTTGTACTTTTTGTAGAGATGAGGTTTCACTATGTTGCCCAGGCTGGTCTTGAACTACTGAGCTCAAGCGATCCACCCTCTTCTGCCTCCCAAAGTGCTGGGATTATAGGCGTGAGCCAACATGCCTGGCCACAGAATATAGATTTTAAAGGGTTAATTTTACTCTATTAAATTATACCTTAATACAAATAATGGGTAAAATAGTCTGCTTGCTTATTTAAGAAATCACATAGTTTAAATAGTACATGAAAAAATATTAGCCCAGAGAGCTGGTGATATGAATGAAGCATAAAAAATTTAAAAGATAAAGTATTCTAAGTATATAAATAGTAAAAACATTTTTTCAAACGGCTAAATAAGAACTAAATTATGTATAAAAGCAGATCTGAACTTTAAAATCAAAATGGATCACGGAAATTGTGAGATACCTGAAGTAATCCAATAATTTCACTTTCAAATTTTTTATTTATAAATTATTATGAACCATGTTAACTATAAATAACTATATAAATAAATATATTTAAATCCTCCCAATTTTTATTTTGACTTACCTCCTGGGATTCTTTGAAAAACTTTGCTCAAAGTATCTCCAGCTATTATATTGTAACTTATCATCGCTAAAAACATAATTAAAATAAGAGTCATCAATAAGCCATCACATATTTCATCCTAAATAATTTGAAAGCAATCACTTATTACTTCCCAAACATTGGCATTACCCTACTCCTTTCAAATGTATATTATGATTACCCATTTGGACAACTTTAAAGATAACTGGACAACAGATCTATGGCAGAGTATCAATTTGTATTAAAAAAGGATTTTCTCTTTACAGGTTGATTCATCTCAGAATACCTTTAAGTAGCAAGTTCTGCTAGTTATTAAAAATGCAATTTATTTTGTTGTTAAAGTTCAGTTTCCAAACCTCTTTTCAGGAACACATGTACTGCGTAAAGTGGGGAATAATAATAGAAAACTTTGAAGGCACTAAAATATCCCCTCCATTGAAAAAGTAAGACTTTTTTGGGAAATATATTCTTAGCTTTCTGTGGAGACATATGGAACTAGTGGTTTGAACAATACCTTCCATAGTACTGATTTTTAAAAATGAAGTCAATTTGGCCATTGGCGAATATTAACATTTCATTTTTCAAGAAGTGTTAGGTGACATTCTCACCATTATGGTATAAACTTTAAATAGCACATTGGCCTAGTACATGGCTTCCACAAATCCTTAGCATTTTTTTTTTTAAGTATTAAGCCTTATAAGAAATGTGTTATTTCTCTTATTCACTCTTTATTCTAGATCATTCCATTTTTTACCAAGTACAGAAAGCCCAAACATTAACTCAGTGAAAATAACCCTCATTTTATTTAAAAGAAATAGAAAATAAATCAAAAGGACCAGAAAGTAAGGAAGAAAATGGTTAAAGAAGTAAATATTTAATTTGGAAAAGATTTCAACTGCTATAATGATATTCTTTAAAGACTATTAAAAGTATTTTATTCAGAAATGACCATATGCTTATGCACATAATTGCAATATTTATCTTCACAGTCAACTTACCTATAAAAGGATACAAAAACTGAAGAACAGAGAGGAGAATATACCCTGGAAAGCCGAAGGTTTTATTGACCAAAGACTGGTAGGTGTCTGTTCCGGAGAGGGCCCCTCCTTTTATCAATAAAATGAGGGAAAAGTCTATGGCAATAATATCAATTAAATAAATGTCAGATTACACGTAATACAAATATTTTTCATGCTTTAACTTAATTACCATTGAGAAAAAGGGAAATTTTAAAGAAGCATTTAATTTAATGTTACAGTACTAGCAGAGCCAGGCTTTCTTTTCATAAAACATTACCTTTTATGAAACAGTAATGTTTCCAGTTACATATTTTTCAATCAAGATGCAAATATATACTTAACATACCCATGCAAAGAATAGGGCAGAAAAGAAAACAGACTCAAGTCAAACTGCCAGTGTTCCATTTTACTTTCCTGATGTAACCAATGCAGCAAATATCATCAGGTTGAGGCTCAATTGTAGGTATGTAGGTAATCAAATATTTCATAGGTATTCAATGTGTGAAGACTGAGAATTAAAGGTGTGGTAGCATTTAGAAAATAATACATTTAGGAGACTCAGAGCATTTGTTTTATAATATAATAAAATTAGTAACTTTATTTTATAGTTATTATGGTTAAGAAAGAGACACTCTATGAAATTTTGCTGTTGAAATTTACATTTGTGGCTGGCACAGTGGCTCACACCTGTAATCCCAGCACTTTGGGAGGCCAAGGTGGCTGGATCTCGAAGTCAGGAGATCGAGGCCATCCTAGCCAACATGGTGAAACCCCGTCTCTACTAAAAATACAAAAATTAGGCAGGTGTGGTGATGCACACTTGTAGTCCCAGCTACTTGGGAGGCTGAGGCAGGAGAATCGCTCGAATCCAGGAGGCAAAAGCTGCAGTGAGCTGAGATCCTGCCACTTCACTCCAGCCTGGCAACAGAGTGAGACTCTGTCTCAAAAAAAAAAAAAAAAAAAAAAAAAAAAAAAAATTACATTTTAAGAAACTTCAATTGAAGTTAAAGATAGATATATACAGAAATTATATAATGAAAAGACAGTCTTCCTCATTGTTTTCATTTAACTCAATGTTTTTTACAGAAAGACACTGCAGTTGTATTTGGTACCCAGCTACACACAATGTGAGATACTTGTTCTCTTTTCTTTCTCATTTTTATCCATTAAGTAATATGGAAATGCATAAAAATGCAAGTCATTGTAATATGATTTCCCCTTGATTCCCTCCCAGGTCAGTGAAACTTCTTTCAACAAGAGCATCAGTGATCTCCAAGTTGATAAATCCAATTGATACCTCCTAGACCTCACTCTTATTTGCTCTTTCGGAACACTGTTTTTTGTTGTTGTTTATCATTCCTTATTTTCTCAACCATCCTCCTTTGGCCTCTGTGACATCTCTTTCTTGTGGTTTTCTTCCTACTTTTTTGGTCATTTATACTCAATTTTTCACCAGTTTCTTTCACTCTGCTCAAGCCCTGGATTCTGGGACTTTTTTTTTTCTCACTTTTTTATTTTTTTGAGATGGAGTCTTGCTCTGTCACTCAGACTGGAGTGCAGTGGCGCCATCCTGGCTCACTGCAACCTCCGCCTCCCGGGTTCAAACAATTCTCCTGCCTCAGCCTCCTGACCAGCTGGGATTGCAGGTGCCGACCACCATGCCTGGCTAATTTTTGTATTTTTAGCAGAGACGGAGTTTTGCCACGTTGGCCAGGCTGGTCTCAAACTCCTGACCTCAGGTAATCCACCCGCCTAGGCCTCCCAAAGTGCTAGGATTACAGGTGTAAGTCACTGCGCTCAGCCTTTTTTCTCACCCTTCAAGATGTACTAGTGTGATCTCACTTATGCTGTGGTTGCAATTTTCATTCAGATGTTAATAACCTCTAAATTTGTGTTTCCAGGTCAGACCCCCTTCAAAACTTCAGACTTCTACAGCTAGCTGCCTAATAAATATTTTGCCTTGAAGATCTCATAGACATCTTACTTTTAAAATATATAAATTCTAATTTGGTTATTGGTTCTGGAATTTGATTCTCTATCCATATTTCTCCAATCTGTAATTAGTATCAACAGAAACTTGAGAATTTCCCCAGACTTATCTTATTAATCATTAACTTATTTCATTAGTTCTATATTCCTGTGGTTACTAAGTCTATTAATGATTGCATCAGAAATATTCAAATGTAGCCCCTAATCTGTAATCTTGACTTGCCTTATGGTAGCGCTTTGGACTTCATAATTTCTTGTCTGGAGTACTGAAATAACCCACTAATAGTTCTTTTACCCACCAATCTGGCCCCCAACCAAGACACCTTTGATTTCTCCTCCCTACCAAGACATTCTGAGCATTCTCCCTCCACCAGGTGGATCTGGCCATAGATTACTATAAAACTAATTGTGTCTTCTGCTTAAAATATTTCAGGGAGACCCATTAATGCCTTTGGATAAAAATTATTTATAGCTGTGTGACCTCGGATGAAAGATTTGAGTTCATCTGTAAAGTAAGGCAATATGGCACCCTTGAAGAGTGTTGTGAGGATTATGGTGTTTAAATATCCACCACAATGCCTACTGTCTTCTAGAAGCTGAGTGGGAACTTACGCTATTTCTACTTATTTTTGACAAGCTGCATGTGACGGTGGGAAAAGTTATTGTATTTGGAGTCAGATAATAATGATAACAACCATAAACTACTAGCAAATGCTTACACAATGCTTTTCTGTTTGGTAGGTCTTTTTCCAAATACTTTACAAATACTAATTAATCTTCACAACAACCAGAGGTAGGTGCTACTATCATGACCATTTAACAGATGAGAAAAGTGGGGCATGAAGGTTAAGTAAATTGATCTCTACAGAAGTAGTAAAAGAAGAATCGGGACTTAGGCCCTAGTAGTCTGGCCTCAGAATCCAGGCACTTAATTAAAATCTCAACTCTGTTACCAGTAACTTCAGACCTTGGCTAAGTTATTTTAACCTACCGAAGTCTCAATTTTCTCCTCCAACAAAGTAAAACATGAACACCTATCTTAGAAAGATTTCACATTATATAAAACATGAACACTTACCTCAGAAAGATTTCACTTTATGGCTGCATTGTGCTCAGCATCTAGCTCAGGAAGTGGTAATGCTTATCATTACATGAAAGGCTTTCCATCTGCCTTTGCAAACCTCTCCAACTTCCCCTCTCTCCATTTGCAAACACCAACCCTGCACTTTGGCCAGACTAAATCATTTGTTCAGTTGCATTTTGCATTCCCACTTTTCCATCTGCTTCCATTTTCTCTGCTAACTCACTTTTTTTTTTTTTTTTTTGATAAATACGCAGAGGAAGTGTCTCCTCCTCCCTAGAACATTCCTGCTCTTTTGAGGCTAGGTTAAATGCCAGTCTCTGTCACGTACATATTTTTATTATAGTATTTTTTATGAAGTACTATAATTATGTTTTGTTTTGTTTTTTTTCTGCTTGACTATATTGTGAGCTTCAAAAAGGCAGGGATAATGTTTCTCATTGCTATATCTGGCACACCGGTGATCAGTATATATTTGTTGAATGAATCAATGATCAATATAGTAGGATTGCTATATGTCTACCCATTGGATTCCAATTTAATGTGATAAATGACCTAATAAATACATTTTTATTTATTTAATTTTATTTATTTATTTATTTATTTATTTATTTATTTATTGTTGAGACTGAGTCTCACTCTGTTGCCCAGGCTGGAGTGCAGTGGCGCAATCTCAGCTCACTGCAACCTCTGCCTCCCGGGTTCAAGCGATTCTCCTGCCTCAGCCGCCTCAGCTTCCTGAGTAGCTGAGACTACAGATGTGAGCCACTACGCCCAGTTAAGTTTTGTATTTTTAGTAGAGATGGGGTTTCACCATATTGGCCAGGCTGGTCTCGAATTTCTGACCTCAAGTGATCCACGTGCCTCGGCCTCTCAAAGTGCTGGGATTACAGGGGTGAGCCACCGTGCCCAGCCCTAAGAAGTATTAATAGATTTTAAAATATCCTGCAAACACAAAGGACATATCAATAAATTCTACTTCCTTTGCTTAAAATTAGAAACTGCTTCACAAAAAAGTTGAATAATGCCTTGAAGGAAGAACAAGGTTTCACCAGGTAGAGAAGAAAAGGAATGTCAGGCAGGAGGACTATCAATGGGAAGATGGTGTGAAAGCTTATTCTCTCCCTGGGTAACAGAATTCTCTGGAATGGCTGAGAATGTCTGCATGTGACTGTTGGTCACAGAGTGAGAGGGCAGTTAATATAATTGGAATGAGACTAAAAATGCAGACTATGGCCAAACTATGAAGGAATTTACATGCAATATTTTGTTGTTGTTGTCCTTACAGAGTCTCAGAATGTTTTGATTAGGGGAGTTTACAGAGTTCAGCCTGAGGTTTTATAAAAATAATCTGCAGCAGTATGGAGGACTGATCAGAAAGTAAACAGATGCTGGAGGCAGGAAAACTGAGCAGCAGCTCACTGGCCAAGAAGGAGAATCAATGAGCTAGATGCTGAGAATAATGCAGCCATAATGTGAAATCTTTTTGAGGTAGATGTTCATGTTTTACTTTTTTGGAGGAGAAAATTGAGACTTCAGTTGGTTACAATGGCTTAGCCAAGGTCAGAAGTTACTGGCAACAGAGTTGGCATTGATTCTCCTCCTTGATTCTCATTGATTCTTATGTAATCTATATACAATTTATATACTTATGTCACAGAGAGGAGGCAGCCAATTTCAAAGATGGTATGAAGGCTTGCTGAAGAAGGGTATGGTTGGGATGAGAACGCTGAGCATTTAATAAAAGTTCAAAATGATCACTTAAAGGTAAGAATGTGTTAAGAATTTAGTCAATAATAAATGTAAATGCTTTCATCTGCTTATAAAATACAGGCTACAAATACATTCCCTTAACAGTTTTAGGTATCTTAAGTATTAATTACTATAATATTTTGATCTCCCTTTAAATATATTATATGCAACTTTTTAAAAACTTCATGAATTAATCTATGTTACTTAACAGAGGAATTTTCTTTTAAATCATTTTGTATGCTCAGACAATAAAAATTATTTTACATTAATCAACAAATTTGAAAATCTTAAAGCAAACTAGAATTATTTGTTGTAAATTTTCGTAATTCTTTTTGTTCCCCAGCATTTCACAAACATGAAAACAGAACTTAGAAAAACTTGTTTTACTGAACATACCTCATTAGTGGCCTTAAAAGGCAAAATAATAATTCTAGAGGCAAACCACTGATTAATTATAGCTCCAATCTAAAGAAAAGTTCAACATTATACCCCACATGTAGATTTTGCTCTTAAAAGCCTAATTAAGAAAAAAAAAATGAATCAGCCTATATATTTTTTTCAATTTTGTGTGGTCATCCTTTATCAGTTATTTAAGAATTTGGATCATGCAAGTAAATTTATGAGTTGGTAATTTTCATTAATAAGTAAATTTGCAACATGTGAATTTGCAAAGGACTTCTCACAGTTATTGTTATAGGTTTATATATGGCATTAGTTGAAAAAGTTATTCACATTATGATTTATTCATGTATAATATGATTGGCTTTAGCATACTGTTCATTCTCTTCAAGTCCTGAACTCGTGGATGACGCATATTTTTAAATTTTTTCTGCCTACCTGTTTACAATGTGTGTAAATGTTTACAATGCATTTAAATAAACGATGGTGATTATGGTGGAAATTGATTATTTGTCAGTGCTGATGGGAAACAGGAAATTTAAGAATGACAGGGACAAATCCTTGAATCAGATTTTTTTTTTTTTAGTGTAATAAATGCCCCAATAAGTAGACTGCAATTTTTAAACACCAGCAACTCTTAATAAGCACAGAATTATAGGTGCTTACGTTATAAATAAAGAGCTGTAATAACTAGAAGCAGTTTAGGTCTTGAGGGTGGGGAGTAGGAAGAAGGCAGGGAGTTCAATGCCTGTCTAGCTTTGAATTTGAAAACGATTTCATGCTTTACTGTCTCTTCGTCAGCCTGAGAAAAAATAGCTGAGCGTTGGGCAGGTCTTGGAAGCCTGAGGTTTTACGAGGGATGGCATCTTGGCAGGATCTCTAGAAGCAGAGCTGAGACAGACATTGCCGGGCAAGGGGTCTGTGGATGAAGTACTCCAGAAGAAGGGGAATGAGAGGACAGGGCAGGGGAAAGAGCTCAGCAAGTACTGCGGTGGTGGAGCACTGGAGCTCCAACCGTACCGCACATTGGTCCCTCATGGAGGCAAGGAGACCCCCTTGAGGCTCAGGGCAACACTCACTAGCTGGTAAAAGGGCATCTAATCCACCACAGCAGCAACTCCTGTGAGTGGTGCTTGTTTTCGATCATTGCCACCTCTTTCACAGTGATCCCAAGACAGAGGAAAGACGCTGTGTTTGTCATAAGGTGAGATGGTGGGATGACAGGGCGGGGACGAGGACAGCAAAAAGAGGAGATGATTATGAGTTGTAAACCCTGCATTTAAATGGGAGAGTGACAAAAGGTGGGTGTGAATGAACTATTTACATGAAGAAGCGGAAGCAGAACAGAAGATGTGATATAGAAGCAACTTATTGCTGCATTTAAAGATAGTAGCGGGCAGCGAGTGTGGGCAGGCATAAGCCAGGTGGAGAGGCTTGATGAGCCCTGCTGGTTGATCACCAGAACTTCAGTTCTACCTCTACAAGCAACAGCTGAATAAGGTTGTTCATTCACATGCACCTGCCCACGAAGTCCTGCTCTCTGCACTTTCAGAGCACAGTCCTCTCTTAGCCTTAATGAAGCTTTAAAATGACTTCCCCATCTACTACTTTCTGCATAAAGTGAAAAAGGCACATGAAAAGGATTTAGGCTTGGTAATATATAATGCTCTTCTACTTTTTCTAATCTGTTTAAAGGATTAGTAGGAAAAGTAAATCTCCTCAGGCATAAATGCTTAAATTCTTTAGGATTCTTTGATGCACTTTCTAATTAACTAGGAAATTCAGCTGCAGCATGTGTGTGTGTGTGTGTGTGTGTGTGTAGTTATTGCACAATTGAAGTTGCAGATATAAGAAATTATATAGTATTTTACCTGTAACATATGAAACCCAGAATAAAAGCAATATTCCCAAAGGAAACCCAGCTTGCTTCATTGAATAAGGCAATCCTGAAAAAACATAAAATGCCCCACCCCTCACATTAACAAGAAAGCTAGAAATACAGAAACTCCCCCCTTCAATTTCTGCATATAATAGGTAAAGTCAATTTATAAACTTATATGACATACTTGTAAGTTGCACATAGGACAGTATTAACATTAAATGTTAGGCATTAATACTTATTTCAGAATAAAATGTTATTAGCTTAGGGACAAGTCAAGAGAGCAAGTTTATGAGGTGATGGGATAAGAATTAGAAAGCAGCAAATGAAAAACAAATGCCAGTTCACACAAATAACGTTTACTTCAGGGTAAGAGTGACACAGCCCTGGAATATGTGGAAAATCATTACCTCAAATCCTTTCCTACCTGCTAGCCAAGAAAGCAGAGTGGATAATAAAGAGCACAGAAGGGTTATGGAATATTAAGACAGACAGACTCTGGAGTCAAAATGGGGCTACTATGTAGGAAAAAAATGAGAGAAAAATGAGAAGGCGAAAGTCTTTTTTATAATGCTGACAAGGGTACGTATAATTATTTCTTGTAACTTTGGGGAAAATGGGCAACTTTAGATTATGGACAATAAAATATCTAAAACAAACACAGTTAAAATATTTGCAGCCAAGATTTTTATTCTCTGAAAAGTTTTCCCTTAAAGAAAAGAAAACAAGCCGCTGAGCAGGATTCAGTGGTACTGTTTAGCATTGCTGACATGGCTTAGCTTAGCATGTTCACATCAGGAATTAGCTCTAGAATTCTTCTAAGTACAGCTGCCCATACCTTCATTGCACATGGAGGTAGAATTGTAAACAAGCCTTTGTCCCTGTTTCCTTCTACTTTATCTCAGGTAATGCCATTTTATGTATCATTTGGAGAAAAAAAAAAGACTATCCATAGAAAAATGTAAAATCAGGAACCATATTAACTTGTGAAAAGTAAAAGTAACTCAAGAGTAAGAAAAGTAGCTCAATCCAGATAAATGTTTAATTTTCAGAAGATGATGACAGAGACAAAAATGTCACAACTTTATAAAACCTTGTATTCTCAAAAAAGTATTGCATTTTGCAGGATTTTGTTTTCTTCTTGTCTTTTCTGAGATAGAATGTTTTCAGGTACCAAAAAGAATAATAACCACTGAAAATAGAGCTGCTTTTATTACTATAATGCAATACACTTTTAACTTTTTTCAGACAATTTCCCTTGCTTCTAATACAATGGGAAAATCTGAGCTATTTATTTCTTTTAATTCTGATTTTATGGCTCCTTTGCTAGGAAAATTATATGCATTTTCAATGAACAAATTTGCATTGTTGACTAAATGATATTTAAAATTAATATATTGTAATAATTTTGTACTTTAAAATTTAACATTGTATAGATAGGTAAAGAATGTATGAATTTAATTTTTCATAAGATTGGTATGTTTTCATATTAAACTTTTCACCTCTAACATTTACAAATATCTGGAAGTTTTATACTTCTATAAGGTTAAAGAAAGATGATTCAAATAATGATGGACCCTTCAGTAAGTGGAAAAAAATACATTAGGTAACATTAACAATCAACCACACAGCCTACAGAAAAAAGATTCAGCACCGCCCATATGCAGTTTCACCTTAATCTACTACACGTGGAAGATGCTCTTAACTGTGGAAGCAGTGTGAATGACAGCCCCATCTTCAGCATAAAAGGCACGCACACATACAGTTACACTAGAAAAAAAGGAAGGCTTTTATGGAAGAAAATTTCCAATTTTCTTATTTAAGTCTTTTTTTCTTTAAAAATAATTAATGAACACTAGCAGCATAGCGAGTCTTAAATTTTGCCCTTTCACTTAAAATTGAAACCAAAACAACATACACTTACCTATTATACCAGATCCTATAATCGAGTTGACAACATTAAAAAGAGCAGCAGACTGACAGGTTTTCTCTTTATACTCATGTTCAGAAACAAGGGTTTCTCTGTCATCTAGATCTCTCTATTTTAATAGATAAAATAGCAATTATAAGCAAATACTAGCTCAGAAAATTAGAAAAGTAACAAATATGTAATGCAGGATACTAGCACGATATTTCTAGTAATAATAAGTAATGTCACTAATGAAAATAAAATAATGCCAGGATAACAGTAATAAAGAATAACAATAATGGCTAGTAATTCAACAGAGCTTGGTAAGCTAACTCCACCCTAAAATTTCCAGATTACAGCTGCCCCAGCTGCTAAGTACAGGATCTGTTAGGAATTCGGTGATGTGATTGTGTGAAATTAAATTGCCTGCTAAGGAAAAAAAAACAAAGTCAGATTAAGGCAAAACTTTTTCTCCCAGAGAACTTTTCGCGGTGCTAAACCAAGAGCCCGGGTGAAGGTAGGTGACCTGACCTGTTGCAAGGTGAATGAAATTTCCGGAAAACTGGCTTCAGAACGCCCAGTCGCTAGTTTTACCTGCGGTGGGATGACAGGGTCCTGCCTCTGGTAGCCCATGGCTGCGCGGTTGTCCTGAGGAGGTAGAAGATGCTGGCGCCGAGGTCCGGCTCGCATCCCGCCAGCCTCCTCCGCCACCTCGCACACAGCCGAGGTCCGCGCGCCGCCGCAGAGCTGCAGGGAGCCAGTTCCACCGGCGCCGTCTGCCCCGTCGGCAGGCCGCGAGGGCTGCAGCCCCAAGATCTCTAGGCTGTGACAGCTTGGGGCACTTTTCCACCGGAGTTCGCCCAAATATAGTTTTCCTCCGGATGCGGAGATGCTGCAGGATGTTTCTGATCCGGGCTGCCCTGTCTCCCAGCCTCCCGCCTCCACACCCCCGCCTTCCTCAGAGAACAGGGAGAGCTACTCTTCCCCGAAGCTGCAGAGGACAACTGGTTCCACCCACGCTGCCCTGCCTAGATTGCACAGTTATGACCGCCTCGTTGCAGCTCGTTCCTAAATTAGCTGCGCCTTTGCTGGGTCCGAAACCCAGGTAAGAGCGCAGAAGCACCCTTGGGCCCGTGGGACATCTTCCCTATTAGCATCTCCTCCTCGCTACACCTTTTCAACGGCAGAGACGACGGGTGAAAATTTGGGACTTTTATTGTAAATGGAAATGGAAAGACTCATAAGAAAATGAATAGCAAAACAAAAAACTTTCCTAGGGTTTTAGCAAACTTGACTACTGAGCATGCTTTGGTCAAACGCTTTCTGGTAACTTTTTAGAAAAAGGAGCCATAGAGAAAATGAAGGTGGATTGTTAATGGATTCAGGTAATGAACCTTGAAGAGGGAAAGAGGAGTACAAGGGTTTGGAAAAGGGATGGCACCTACAGTGTCTGAGCTAGAAGGAATCTTCAGTGACCACCTATACATTACAGATGAAGCAACAAGTCCAGAGAGTATTCAATATCAGAGACAGAATGCATAAGACAACAGTTTCAGGGGCATTTTTGATCTGGGATTGGTTTAAGGCATGGATGCAGAACTGGGGATGTGGAGGCCAACTGTACCTAATTAAAGAGGTTCTGTTTCATACATATTTACTTATAATTATGAAAAAATATTAAAACCGTGGGAAAACGAAAGACTTATAAACTTTATATACACTCTGCCATCAAATTAACAAATGTTAACATGCTGTCATATTTTCTTCAAATTGTAAAAGTAAACATAATGTCACAATAGGAACCCCCTTGACCTTCTCCATTCCTTTCCCTAGACCTTCAGCCCTGGAGTCATCGGTTCATCAAGTTAGTGTTATCTTTGCTATTCATGCTTTCTATTTTAATCTGTTCATTTATAGCCATAAACAATATATAACATTGGCTTTTGTGTTTTCAACATTTACGAAGATGGTACCATATTGTACATGTTATTTTTCCACTGGCATTTTTATTTTCAGCATATATGATGTAGATATATGCAGATACGCTTTTTTTTTTTCATTATATCTAACAGTTAAGTCAGCCTTCCCCCTACTGAAAGATAGTAAGGTTGTTTCTCATTTTACACTCTTACGGAGCATAAAAGTGACAGTTTCTCTAGATGTAGAAGTGTTATATAGTAGGTCATGCGCACTTTCATCTTCGTTAGTTTTTTTTTTTCTTTTTCAGACGGAGTTTCAGTTTTGTTGCCCAGGCTGGAGAGCAATGGTGTGACCTCTGGTCACTGCAACCTCCGCCTCCCGGGTTCAAGTGATTATCTTGCTTCAGCCTCAGGAGTAGCTGGGAATATAGGTGCCCACACCACGCTCAGCTAAGTTTTTGTATTTTTAGTAGAGATGGGGTTTCACCATGTTAGCCAGGCTGGTCTTGAACTCCTGATCTCAGGTGATCCACCCTCCTCAGCCTCCCAAAGTGTTGAGATTACAGGTGTGAGCCACTGTGCCTGGCCTTCATTAAATATTTTTAAATTGCTTTGCAAATTGATAACATGAATTTCACTTCTACCAACAGAGTTGAAATTCTTGTTTTTCTACATTGTCTGCAACACCAGGATTTACTTAATCTATTTTTTAAGTTTCATTGTTCTGCTGGATTTTTAAGTGGTGTATAATTATTGTATAAATTTGTATTATCCTAATTTACATTGAGATGGAAGATATTTTACATACTAGTTAAATATTTCCATTGTTCTTTTTGTGAATTTCTTTTTTTTTTTTCCCCATTGGGTTTTGGTTGTAAATTTTTTCTATTGATTTGTAAGCATAATTTATATATTTGGGGTGGCAACCCTGTGTCATTTATATGTTTTATACGTATCTTTTCCCAGCTTCTCTCTTTTAAATTTTTTTCTAATTCTGTGAAGTTACAGTTTTAATATTAGTAATCTTAATCCTGATACAAGTGCATTGAGAAGCAAAAATTATAACCCTATTTTACTCAAAAGAATAGATGCAGAAATTCCAAGCAAACTATTAGCAAGTTGAACCTATCTGTTCACAAAAAGTTAACAATATCATAAAAAAGTTGAATATAGCCCAACTATGAAAGGATGGCTTAATTAACAAAAAAGTTCATAAATATAATTTCCAACATTAACAGGTAAGAAAAAACCATGTTATTATTTCACTATATTCAGGAAAAACACTTGATAATGTTGAATTATTGATTTAAAAAAACTTTGTAAATCAAAAACATAATACAACTTCCTGATAGTGATAAACTATAGGAAAATATTTTCATTACAAGGAAATTTTGGAAGCATTCCTATTTAATCAGAAGTGAAAAAAATCAATGTTTGTGACTTTTATTTAACTTGATGTTGGAGTTCCTAGTCTAAAGTAGTAAGAAATAAAAGAGAAATCAGAGGTATGAGAATTGGAAAGCTAAAATTAAAACTGTCATCATTTTTACATGATAAAATTGTTTGTATAGAAAAATCCAAAATAATCTAAGAGAAAAAAATTAGAAATAGAGAATATAGAGAGCTTATTAGCATAAGATTAGACTAAAAATATATTAATTTCTCTACAGCAACAGCAAACAACTAGATATTGTAATTAAAAAGTATATAATAGTGTCAGAGAATATCTAATACTAAGAAATAAATCCAACCAAAGAGAAAAATGTACACAGTCTCTTCAAAAAAAAAGATAACAATCAAGGTACATTACAGAAGGCCTAAATAAATTGAGAGATACACCTTATTCATGAATCAGAAAAAATAAATATTCTAAAGATATCGAATCTGACCAAGTTGATCTATTGATTAATACAATTATTTTCACCACTACATTGACCACAAATCTCTGTCAAAACATTTCCTTTCTGTTTAGTTACAAAAGAAAAATCTTTGTTCTTTAAAAAGTAGAAATAAAATGAAAAGGATAAATTTTAAATGTTCAGTTATTTCCACTCCCAGTGATAACTTTATTTTAAAGATTTTTTTCAATATATCAGGTTGGTACAAAATAATTGCCATTTTTGCCATTACAGTAATGACAAAACCTAATATTTTGCACCAGCCTAATATTATATGTGTCTCTGTATGTATTTGTTGTTCTTTTTTTCTTTTTGTAGATGATAGGCTCCGTGGTGGTCTTAAAATATATCCACAAATTCTCTGACATCCTCTCTTCAAGAAGTGGAGCTTAATTCCCTTTCCTTTGAGTGCAGGTATGACTTACTGACTTGCTTCTAATGAATAGCATATGACAGAAGTGATGTGTGTACATTCTGTTACTAAGTCATGAAAGTCATTGTGAATTCTGCCTTGTTCTCATTCAGACCACTCTGGGAGAAACCAACAGCTATGTCATGGGGAAATTCAAACCACCTATGGAGCGAGGCTCACATGGTGAGGAAGTAAAGCCTCTTGCCAATACCAAGCGAGTGAGATATACTAAAAGGGGATCCTCCAGCCCCAATCAAGTTTTCATATGACTGCAGCCCCTGCCAGCATCCTAACTGCAACCTCATAAAAGACCTTAGCAATAGCCAGGTGTGGTGGCTTATGCCTGTAATCCCAGCACTTCGAGAGGCTGAGGCGGGCGGGTCAGCTGAGGTCAGGAGTTCAAGATTAGCCTGGCCAACATGGTGATACCCATCTCTACTGAAAATACAAAAATTAGCCGGGTGTGGTGGCATATGCCTGTAGTCCCAGCTACTTGGGAGGCTGAGACAGGAGAATCACCTGAACCCAGAGGCAGAGGTTGCAGTGAGCCGAGATCGTGCCACTGTACTCCACCCTGGGTGACAGAGTGAGACTCTGTCTCAAAACAAAAAAGACCCTAGCAAGGACCCCTTAACCAAACTGCTTCCAAAGACGGGGCCAACAAAAATATGAGATAATTTGTTTTTTTAGGCCACTAGGTTTTGGCATTGTTTGTTATACACCAATAGATAACTGATATAGGCTCATTCTATACATATTTTTGATGATCTTTTTAAAAGAAATTTTTCTTAATTTCATAAATATTTAATATAATTTCAAAATATTATATTCTCAATGAGAAAACTCAACAAAGAAAGAGACAGACACATAAAATCACTGGCAATCCTCCCATGCAGAGGTAAGCAGAGTTAACATTTTAGAACCCTACAGTTTAGTCAGATTATACAGTATTTAGTTTGTTGAAGTGCATATTCACATGCACAAAAATAGTTTTATTGAGTCTGTCTTAGCCCCAGACAGAGGCTGTGGGAACTGGACTTTCACAAATATAGAGAGTCCTAATTTGAGCTTTTTATCAAATTATACAATTATGTAGATCATATACTAAGCCTTTGTAGAATTATTATGTTTCATTATTATTTGGTTACAGTCCAGGCGAAGTGACTTCCAAGGGTACCTAGCTCTCTTAGAAATAATAAAAGAAGGCTCTAGCTTGGCAGACATTCGAGTTTAGAAAGCTCTTCCTGATGTCTAATCTGACTCCTTTCTGATATTATTAAAGTCCAAATTTGGATGAGACTAGAGACAATGACTTTCAATCCATATCTCTAGGAAAGAGTGACTTTTTCCTCAACCCTAGAAATGAGTCTGTAAGAGGAGTGCTTTTGTTCTTCTGTGAAAAACCGGATGCTTGACATTCTTACAGTATTGGGTTATTGGCTTCATTGCTGTAACAAACAGAGCACCAATATGTAGCGTTTCAAACAAGATAGACCTTACCTTCTGTCTTTTTAAATTTTCCACAGGTAGGAGTTCTCAATCTTTGTCGGAAAGTCTTCTCCAATATGTTCCGCTAAATAATCAAAATATATCTTTTTTAGGATTAATCACCTTAAACATCATTTTTGTAATTTATGTGTTCTATATATTACTCATGAAATAATACCTTATTTGTGTGGTACCATATTATTATTATTGCTTAATTAAGGTATTTTCATGTTTTCTAACTGTAATTATTAGAATTCTGCAAGTCTGCTACAGTGACATTTCTGGTTAGGAGTCAGTGTGGATGGGGCACTGAGCAATAAGGTAAGTATTACTGTGTGAGTAAGCCCTGGTTTGCCCAAGATAGTTTTCATTTAGGCTTCCTGTCCCAATGTAATCATAAGTAGCATTGTATTAATCCATTCTTGCATTGCTATAAAGAAATACCGGAGACTGGGTAATTTATAAAGAAAAGAGGTTAATTGGCTCATGGTTCTGCAGGCGGTACAGGAAGCATAACACTGGTATCTGCTTCTGGGGAGGACTCTGGAAGCTTAAGGTCATGGCAGAAGGCAAAGCAGGAGCAAGAGAGCTAGAGAATTGCTATACACTTTTAAACAACCAGACCTCAAGAGAACTCACTGTGGCTAGGACAGTACCATGGGGAATGGTGCTAAACCATTCATGAGATATCTGCCCCCATGATCCAATCACCTCCCACCAGGCACCACCTGCAACACGGGGATTACATTTCAATATGAAATTTGGGTGGGGACATACATCCAAACTATATCAAGCATCTTTGTCATTCTCAGAAGTGTCCCTGTTTGGATGATAGGTTACAATATCATGGTACCTATGGGGTAGGATGGGGGGACCTATGGGGTAGGATGTGGGAACTATGGGGTACTAATCTCACCTAATATGTACTTAACACTTCACATTTATCTCTTGTGGTATTCAAGTTGAGAAAGGATGCAGATTTTAAAGACATGTGCTTTGAGTTATTTAGTTAGTATAGTGTATTGGGAGCTCAGGCTCTGGAATCAGAAAAAAAACTGGGTCTGAATCAAAGTTCAAGAGATCTTGGCAAGTTGCTGTATTCTTTGAGCCTTAATGTACTTATTTGTAAAAAGGGAAAACTAAGAGCACCTCTCTCAAAGCAGTAGTTGTAGGAATTAAATGAGATAACCTATTTTTTAAATTATTCATAATAATTGTACATATTTATGAGGGGCAGAGTGATATTTGATACATGTATACAATGTTTAATGATCACATCAGGATAATTAGGATATCCATCACCTCATTTATCATTTATTTGTGTTATGAGCATTCAAAATCCTCCCTTCTATTTTTTTGAACATAGATAATAAATTGTTACCTATAGCCACCCCACAGCATGATAGAACAGTAGAACTTATTTCTTCTACCTAGTAATTTTGGAGATGACCTAGACTTCTGTTAGTTTCCTAAAGCTGCTGTAATAAAGTATCATAAACTGGGTGACTTAAAACAACTGAAATTTATTGTCTCACAGTTCTGAAGGCTAGGAGTCCCAAATCAAGGCATCAGCAGAGCCATGCTCCCTCTGAAACCTACAGGGGAGAATCCTTGCTAGCTTCTTGTGGTTGGCTTGCAGATGCAACACTACAATCCTCCATCTTCACATGGCATTTTCCCTGTGTCTCTGCACACTGTTCCCTCTGTGCATGTCTTGTCTGCATCTGAGTTCAAATTATCCTCTCCATTTTTTAAATTAGGATACCTATCATATTAGGGCCTACCCTAATGGCCTCACCTTAACTTGACTACAACTGCACCTACCTCTGTTTCCATAGAAGGTCACATTCTGAGGTAGTAGGGGTTAGGACTTCAACATACCTTTTCAGGGAGACACAATTTAATCCATAATACTATTTTTAAAGTATTTAGTTACTTGCTTGGCCCATAATAAGCTCTCATTGATGTTTTCTGCTGATATATCCAAACAGAAAAACACTTTGTTAGGCCAAAATCATATAAGATAGAGGGAATTTTGGTCACTGCAAGAGAAACTGCTATTTGGCTTTAAACATTTATTTTTCCTTCCTCCACCCTGAGAGAGACTCTGATTTTGGTCTTGACTGTGGCTACCTGGAAAGAGAACTGAAATGTACATCCTTACTTGTAACTGGTTGTGGTCATACAGCTAAGTTTGACCAAGAAGATGCAGGTGGACTGTAAGTCCTTAATGAGAAGGAAAATAATGCCTTACCTTTCTTTTGCTCCTTCTCACTGGCCAGAATGAATGAAGATGGCTGAAGCTGGAGTTTTTCTCTGAAGCAACCACCTGTTGGAAACTTCATGTCGAAGATGCCTGAGTAATACGACAGAGGGAGTCTGGGTCCCTGGTAGATATTCCAGATCTGGGTGTTCATGGTGATATGAGAAAGCAGTAAACTTCAGTTTTGCCTAAATAGCTGTTACTTGGGGCATTCTGTCATTTACGGACAAATCTGACCTGGATTAATACACCTCCGCTGGGTACCAAGACTGATCTAATAGTCAAAAAGGTTTCATTCCGTCTAGATGTTTCTCTAGAACAGGACCTAAAGAAGTTCTTTAGCTGAATTTCTTATGGAAGTAATAGGAGAGTTCCTTGTGCTTCATTAAATGTTGTATTGGTAAGTATATATGGTTTACAATTACATGCAAATATAATAAGCTATAAATCATTGGATTCTGGTTTTTTTAGTTTAGTCTCATTAATGAACTGCTAAGAAACCTTGGATAACATATCTAGAATAATACTCTCTCTCTCCAATGTGGTATGGATCCTTCTCTGTATCCTCTGTTGTTGGTCTCATCCATATATCCTTAAGTGTCTCATCCATATAACCTTAACCGTCAAAGGTTTACTTTGGGACCTACAGAGAATTCTTAGTCTTTGATCATTAACTTGAGGACTGACCCAGCAAAACTGAAGCTCTGACTGACTTGAGTGTACTCTCAGCATCTTTCACTTTACTGCCTGTATTCTCTGCATATGTGATAGAGAATATAATTTTAAAGTCTGTGTGGAAAATAGTATTTCTACTGGAAATCCAAACTGAAATTTGATCCTTCTTTTTTTCAGCTCAGAATATTTTCTTTGTGAGATCATGTACCATTTCCTGGCTCCAGAAGCTGGAGGAGGTGACTGTTACAGCTTAGTCATTTTGTCAGAGGCGTTTGAACCAGAGTAACTCCATCTTTAATAGGGGCTGAGCAAAATGAGGCTGAGACCTACTGGGCTGCATTCCCAGAGAGTAAAGGCATTCTAAGTCACAGGATGAAATAGGAGGTTGGCACAAGATACAGATCATAACGACCTCACTGATAAAACAGGTTGCATTAAAGAAGCCAGCCAAAACCCACTAAAACCAAGATGGCCATGAGAGTGACCTCTGGTTGTCCTTACTGCTACACTCCCACCAGCGCCCTGACAGTTTACAGATACCATGGCAACATTGGGAAGTTACCCTATATGGTCTAAAAAGGGGAGGCATGAATAATCCACACATTGTTTAGCATATCATCAAAAAATAACCATAAAAATGGGCAATTAGCAGCCCTCAGGGCTGCTGTAAGGAGTAGCCATTCTTTTACTCCTTTACTTTCTTAATCAACTTGCTTTCTCTTTACTCTATGGGCTCACCCTGAATTCTTTCTTGCACAAGATCCAATAACTCTTGGGGTCTGGATTGGTACTGCTTTTCTGTAACATCTTCATGCCAGCTATAATATGAATAACATGATACAAGACAGTAGGTAAGCAAACTGTGATTATCTTCAAATAGTATCAGCTTTTATCACTCACTAATAAATATGCCCAAAACACACCCAAAGTGACAAGGTAGAAGAACCAAAATTGGGGGCTGGGTATCGTTTAGTATCTTTTAATCAATGTGATCTATGAAGGTTACACTAGAATAAGTAAGAGCTCATTTACCGATTTTGATCTTTTTTCTTCTTTTGTTTTATTGAAGTTCCATTTGCATTATGTCATCCCTGTATCAGTTCAATTTGGCCTGGAGAAAGGATATTGTATACCCTTTGGATAGGTTGGCCGGGAAGACCAGATTCTGGCAAGATAGTACACTTGACAGTGACAACTAAAGAACATGCAACCTGGGGCACAGAGTGGGGTGGAACCTTGGCAGTAGAAGTATTAGGGATGATTGTGACTGTGTATCCTCTCCCAGCTACAGCAGTGCCTTATACATGATGTTTGCCGGAAATACTCTTCACCGCAAAGAAGGGCAGTGGTGCTAAAATCAGGAAGTGGGAGCAAAGGGACCAAAAAGACTTTGTGGCCAGAGCCAATATTGCCCATAGTGTGGAAATATGAGGTTGGCAAACTTTCCCCAAATCTCTGAATCTGACTTAAGTCTCTTTCTTTCTGATCTTGGGTAATTTTGTTTACTTCTAAAATACAGCACTCAATCCTTTATTGCATGCTGTAGCTAAGTATGGTCATATCTGTGGGAATGGTAAGCTTATTGTGGGAAAGGATCACATTTATGTTGCTGTTGATGAAGATTTTTTTTCCCACTGAACCTAGCATAGTGATTCACACAGTCACTGCTGCTCATTAAAAATGTTCCAAATGGAAGAAACAATCCAAACAGGAATTAGCAACTAAAAAGCCTTGTTGTTAAGTGTCAGTAAATTTCATGTGGACAGCAATAAGGACCATCAGGAGAATATTTAAGTAATGAAATTATGATGTTCATTTGCCTCTAGGGCTTCTAAGAGACTGAGAAAAGCCTGGCTCATCTCCACTTACTAATGCAAGCAGAATATTTTGAAAAATACATTTTAGAAAAGAGTGACACAAAATTGTGATACATTTCTAACCATTTGACAAATTAACACTTTGTTTTTAAACCCAAACGTAGTGTAATATTACTGTTATTCATACAATAATGAAAGGATGTGTTAAAATATATTTATTTATAATGCTTAAAATGGGGTGGTGTTATAATATGTCATAAGTTTAAGATTAAGAGTGACATGTTTTAATTTTAGTGTATCTATGCTGCCCTAGGTGTAACTGCCCAGTGGGTTCTTCCTGCCTGCTATACAAACAAAATCAATTCAGAGACCATGGCATTTCAGCAAAGAAAGAGTTTAATTGACATGAGGCCAGCCATTGCTATGTGGGAGATGGAGTTATTATTCAAATCAATCTCTTCAAGAATTTTATGGCTGGAGTTTTTCAAAGGTAGTTTTGGGGAAAGGGTGGGGGTCGCGAGGCAATGGGTGCTTGCTGCTGATTGGCTGAGGGTGCAATCATAGGGGTGTGGAAATGGTCTTCCTGTGCACTTGACTTGCTTCTGGGTGGGGCCACAGAAGCTAGTGTTTGGTGGGTTTAGGTGGGGCCTTTGGTTATGAAACATGAAAAAACCCTTAAAAGATATCTCAAAAGGCCAATCATAGGTTCTAAAATAGTGATGCTATCTGCAGGAGTAATTGGGGAAGTTGCATATTTTGTAATCTCCAGAATAATGGCTGGCAATCCTTTATGTGTGCACCTTAGCAGAATTCAGGCTCCTCTGTTCTCTTAGTCTGGTGGTCTTTCCTTTGCTTTACAAAGGCAGTTGAGTTTATGGGAAGGACTACTATCACTTAAACTGTAAACTAAATGTTTCCCAAAGTTAGCTTCACCCAAGTCCAGGAATAATTAAGGACAGCTTGAAGGGTAAAGGCAAAACTGGGTGGCTAGATCGGATCTCCCCCACTGCCAGTATTTTCTTACTGATACAGTTTTTGCAAAAGTGGTTTCATAGGTATAACATCATAAATCTGAAGCTTTTCAAACATTGAAAGCTCAAACCAAATGGCCCTTCTCAACTGCCTGTGACAGACACTGTCTGTCTTAGAAGTGTTTAGTAGAAATGTATTAAAAAGATACTAAGGACACCCAAAAGACTAGCAACTGAAGTTGCACGTTATCCACTCACATTTCAAAAGGATTATCTACTCATCCTCTATAAGGAGGGGAAAGGATGTACTAGGTTCCACAAATCAGCCCCAGTGCTGACATTGCCCCAGTAACATATCTGAAAGCTCACACGCTCTGATTAGAAAAACAATGTAGGATCTATTGAATATGTCTACGTTTCCCACTTTTGATCATTACTAATTACCAATAAAGATTGTGTGTGTGGCATTCTATAGGTTCTGAAAACAAGGTATGTATGCTCTATAGTTTGGAACCAACCTTCATCACAAGATGACTAACTTGATTAGGTAGTATAAGAGATGTCCCAAATGAGTGAAATAGATATATTTATTGGAGCAATTTAGAGGAAGTGATAATTATAGGAGGGTGAGGTGTGGGTGGTCAGTAGTACTTGATGGAAGGCTGGAAACATAAAATTTAGCCTAGCAAAAATGAAATTTAACTTACAAATATAGCATCCTGATCTTGAATCTGAACAACCAACTGTATAGGTGCAAGGTAAGAACGTGTGGGTTATCTCCAACTCATTTGTAATACTGTTTTTAATTAACAAGACGTTTAAATAATGCAACAATTTAATGGGGCTGAGAAAAAAGTCTAACACAGTCAGGTAAAGTACTTGTAATAATTACACAGAACAAGAATAATGATAATCCAGACCATCTGTATTGGTCACACCACACATGGATTATTGTTTTCAGCTCTGGAAACCACAATTTGAGGAAAGTTACAGATAAACTGGGACATTTACAATTGAGAGGGATCAGAATAATGAGAGGATACTGAGTCTCACAGTGCTTTAACTAGCCAGAGAATAAAGATTCAGAGGTTGAGAGGCTCACTCAATATTACCAATGGCTTTATAACCTAATTACTTAGAGTTGTCCTGGGATAAATTGAGTGGTAAATTGTTACTAGAGGTATTTAAACCTGAGCATGACCACTGGGCAAGGACGTTGTAGGGGATGATGAAGGATATAAAGGGTGCTAGGTGTTCTTTTTTGCTTGTGAGTAAACAGAAACCTACTTGCGCTTCTTTAGGAGTGGGGAAAGTGGTGATTAGAACAATTTTTGTAATGAATCTAGGACTAGAAAATTTGTCAAGATTCCAGGTATCCCTAGATTTTTCTTTTCTCTGTCTATCATGGCCAGCATGATCTTTTTCTCATGGAATCTTAGCTTTTTTTCTGTAGGTCTACTTCATTATTCTCTTGCAACTGACTGGTTAGTCACTGAGTTCTCTGGGGAAAATTCCAGAGCAAGTGAGTCTGACAGGCTTAGCTACATACCTTTGCCTCCATTGAGCACAGCTTGTTGATCCACACCTCCTCCTAGGAGGCTGCCAGCTGTTAAAAGATAAACTTAAGCACATTAACATTTTAAAGAGTTTATTTGAGCAGACAGTGATTCATGAATTGACAGTGCCAAAGCACAACCAGGTTGGGCTCCACTGAAGGGGAATAAGGGAAAAAGTTTTATCAGGTGTTCTCGGAAGCAAGACAAAGAAAATATTTGATTGGCTAAAGTAGCCTTAAAGTCCCTAGTTAGAGGTTAGTTGGCAGTTTCTGATTGGTTAAGATTAAGTTCCATTTTCCTAGGCTATGACCATTCCCTCTGAGCTGGGTTTGAGTTCATATGTGATGAACTCAGGGGGCTAGAGTCACCTCAGTTTGATGGTTTCCCAATTAATTATTTTAACACAGCTTAGGGATGAGCTCTTCTTGGGCTAGTTACCAATCTCTCATCCAGTCAATTGGCCATTGTGCCAGCTACAGTGACTTCCCTACAAAGCAAGGGGAGTGGAATGAAGAAAACAGCTTGAGCTGAAGGTGGGTTTGAGCAGTGGCCTGCAGTGTGGTTCATATACATGGAAATACTAGATGGCATTAAAATTCCTCTACCACTTGTAATTCCTCAATTCCATGATGCTAGTGGTATTGGTGGGTCTTTGTTTTCAGATCTCCCAAGATGGTGGCGGCTGCTCCCAACATGGCAGCAAGCTTTTTGTTCTCTGACCTGGGGTTCTTGGCCTCACAGATTCCAAAGAATGGAACCTTGGGCCATGCGGTGAGTGCTAAAGCTCTATGAGAAGCCATGGGTCACAGAAGAGAACCATGGAACCCAGCGACTAGTATTCGGCGACTAGGATGAACCAGGGCACTTAGCCATGCAGGAACAATGGCAAGCCTCTAGCCTGATCAGGAGTGGCACTGGGCGCCTCTCTGGATCAGAAGTGCAGCAGATACCCACCCCGGATCCGGAGGGGTGGAAGTCAGCAGCAGGTCTGCAACAGCGGCGATCAGCAGTGGTGGATGGCGAGTGAAAGCTGAGCTCCAGCCAGAACAAACACAGAGCAGAAGAGTGTGCAGTTGCAAGATTTAATAGAGTGAAAACAGAGCTCCCATACAATGGGAGGGGACCCAAAGGGGGTTGCCTGATCCAGCTCAAATGCCTGGGTTTATATCCTGACCATGTCCCTCCCCCTGTGCTCTTAGGTGATAGATGATTTGACTATTTCCTTACCTCCTGCTTTTGGCCTAACTGATATTTTAGTGAGCTCTCTTTACTACCTGATGGGTCAGGTATGAGCTGAGTTATAAGCCCCATGTTTGAAGGTGGGTGTGGTCACCTTCCCCAGCTAGGCTTAGGAATTCTTAGTCAGCCTAGGAAATCCAGCTAGTCCTGTCTCTCACTAGTAGGATTAGAATTCGACCTTATCATTAAAAATGAGATAAGGGGACTGTATTAGTCCATTCTCATGCTGCTATGAAATTACCCAAGACTGGGTAATTTATTAAAAAAAGAGATTTAATTGACTCACAGTTCCACATGGGTGGGGAGGCCTCAGGAAACTTACAGTCATGGCAGAAGGCACCTCTTTACAGGGCAGCAGGAGAGAGAATGAGTGCCAGCAGAGGAAATGCCAGACACTTATAAAACTATCAGATCTTGTAAGAACTCACTCACTATCATGAGAACAGCATGGGGGAAACCACCCCCTTATTCAATCACTTCCCACCAGGTCCCTCCCATGACACGTGAGGATTATGAGGATTACAATTCAAGATGAGATTTTGGTGGGGACACAAAGCCTAACCATTTCAGGAAGAATATGTCGATTCCTGATATGGAGAATAAGAAACATGTATCATAAAATAGTAAGGAGAAAGGAGTGTTTGGAACCAAATAAAGGTAGATTCTGATTAGTTTTATTATCATTTCTCATTACTTTTTAGTTTATAATATTGTCTTTTATTACATACTTTCCTTCTGTTAACTTTGGGGGTGCCATGGGCCTATTGCTAGACAAACAGTAGCAAAGGTGCTCAATTTGCAAAGATGTAAAATATATTTTTGAGATATGAAGCACTATGAATGTTTCATGAGTTAAAAATAATATGTCATAGTAAGTGGCTTCCTTCTTATTGGTGGTTAGTTTCTCTATATCGGCCATGTGAGAAAATGAAGTGAAAGCAAGAATGCAACAAGGCATGTTTCCCCCTTGATTTCTTGGTATCTCTATCTTTTAAAAAAATTTACAGAAAATGTTTGTTTTTTATTTCAGTTCATCTTTCTTTTACCCCTTCCTTAGCTGTCTTCCTTTCTCAAAGTTCTTGCAATCTATTTCTTACTAACATGAGACCCTAACATATTTTCTAAAAAATGTCAGTATGAACAGAGTGACCACTTGCCATAGGAACTCAGCCTGACTTTTAAAAGAAGTTTTAAAATAGTGTGGGTAAGAATGATATGAATCCATTTAGATATGTTTTAAATACTACTACCTTCTTCAACTCAATGTCCAAAAGGACCTTCATGTCCCTAAGGGCTAGAAAAGGAACAGCTCACACGGCAACCACATTCCCATGAACTTGCTTCCCATGACCTTGCTTCACAGGGGCCTGACCCAGATGTGGTGGGAAGCACAGGACAGCAAATCCCTTTCTGAATCTTTTTATGCATGAGGTTGACCTGGCCTTAAATGTCCCTACTACAATGACTTAAAAAATGGTGATTAAATAATGTAAAACATATTGCAAATAAAATGTAAATTATCTAAAGGAAAGAAGCTACAGACTGAAAGATTGGACATGTTTAAAAGTAGCAAAATCCAAACTAAACCATAAGAAGACAGTGTGGAGTGTGTGTGTGTGTGTGTGTGTGTGTGTGTGTGTGTTGTAAGAATCAGGTGGCGTGTCCTACTGAAAAGCCTGTATATTTTACCACTTGGTGCCTTTTGGGGAAAATAAGAGGAATCTAACGCATACACGCATATGTGCACATACACACACTCACACAGAATTTAAATGCTGAAGGAGAGTGAAAATAAACCATGTACACTGTTCCCTTTAGCTTAAATAGCCAGCAGCTATCAAGGCACCATAACTCCTTTTAGATTCAGTTAGAGGGAAAAAACTTTTCATTTGTATATTTTTCTATGCCCTAGTTAGAAGAAATATTTTCCTCTTAGAAATTTCTTTTGAAATGATTTTCTATTCCACAACAAACTCTGGAATTATTACTGTTCCATTATTCATTTGTTATAGGTTCTGTCTTGGTTCAAATTATCTCTAGTTACCTTTCTGGTAAGTTACTGACATTTTTTTGTGGGATGTGTCAGCTGATAAGATTCAAAGGAGCCAACTCCTTCAGTGATTTCAGTGATAATAAAAATATGCACAAGAAACATGGTCTTTAGTAATTAAAGGGTTAATAATACATATGCATGATACCATGTTCTGGTCCTTCACGAAACAGGAAGTCCGGGTTCCCGGATCAATATTGTGAAGAGCTCAGATCTTCTGGGTTAGTCAATTGGGCTACACAGTATCTCTGGAGAGTGGCATTTGGGGTCCAGAAAATGGTGCAAACATTTAAAAACTTTTTCATCATGTCACCAGCTAGCCCAAATATAATCTCTCTGAGATGGAAATCTAGGAATTAATTTTTCTTTCTTTGCTAGCTTCCTTTTTCACCCCTTCCATCTATCAATTTCCTCAATCTATCCTTTCTTCTTCTTTCTTCCCAGAGACAGGATTCCATTTTGGATGGAGTGGTATTGAGTCTTTACTATTTCACGTCAGGAGATTTAGATCCTTATCACTGTGCTCAGTGGTACAAGGAAAGGCTGATGCTTCTCAACACTATTAACCGCTACTTATGTATTCACATGTGCACAGTTTCTATTTTCTCTTCTGAAAACTCCTTCCTCACCATTTTAATTTGTAACATCTCCCCCTCCCCACATACATCCTTCAAAGCAAGAAGCACCAGCATCTGCAGTTTTATGAAATTGATTGACTGAGATGGTGGAAGCGTCAAGATTTTTTTTTTTTTTAGGCAATCCGATTGGAACCAGAGAGGAGGAGAGTGAGGGTGATTGGTGGTGTTACTTGTTTGTCTGGAAGTGGTACTAGCATAGCAAACATAGTGTAATTAAGACACTACTTTATTTTTCTCTCTTACTTTTCCCTTTAAAATGTATTCAATGGAGAAACGTTTTCCTGCTACTGAATGACATTTCCAACAGGCCCCATAACCACTATGCAATAGAGTCAGAGGGTCTCAATTTAGTAATTAAGGCTTTGCAGAGAAGCAGGTGGGAACCTGTGCTCTGAGAGGGCAGTGGGAAGGCTGGTTGGCTTCGCATCTCTTTCTTGACCCCCTGTCCTCCTCATTTTTGCCAAACTCAGATTTTGGCAGCTCTGGCATTTGAAAGTCTGGGAAAAGCCTTTCTTTCAAGTTCATACATGACTGGTATTACTATAAGCAGACTTCTTAAAAGATGAAAGTGTTCCCTTTCTCTTGTGAATTGATTTCATGGGTTCCGAAAATTCCTTTGACATCCCTGGTGGTTTCTCAACTCAAATTCCTGTCATTACCTCAAAGGTTGTTTAATCCCTCCGAAGCTCCTGGAAATCTTCAGAAAACCGAAGCACTGCACATTTTATTTATTTATTTATTTGTTTGTTTATTTATTTTTGAGACGGAGTCTCTCTCTGTTGCTCAGGCTTGAGTGCAATGGCACGATCTCTGCTCACTGCAACCTCCACCTCCTGGGTTCAAGTGATTCTCCCACCTCAGCCTGCTGAGTAGCTGGGATTACAGGCACCTGCCAGAACGCCTGGCTAAGTTTTGTATTTTTGTAGAGATGGGATTTCACCATGTTGGCCAAGCTGGTCTTGAACTCCTGACCTCAGGTGATCCACCCGCCTCGGCCTCCCATAGTGCTGGGATTACAGGTGTGAGCCACCGCATCCAGCCAGCACTGCACATTTTAAGTGTATGTTCTATGAGTTTTGAAAAAGGTATACATGCATGTAACCATCTTGCTAATCAGGATATAGACTATTTCCATCACGCCCAAGGAGTTCCCTTTTGCACTTTGCAGTCCATCAATCTTCCTCTACCCCTTAGCTCAGACAACCATGAATCTACTTTTTGCCATTATAGATCAGATTTTCCTGTGATAAATTTTTATGCAAATAAAATAATATACTAAATATTCATTTGTGTCTGGCTTCATTAATGTAGGATAATGATTTTGAGATTATTCATGTCAATCAGTGTTACCATTCATTGATTTATTTCATTGTTGGATGGTATCCCACTAAATTGATGTACCACAATTTGCTCATCAATTTACTTATATGTTTTTGAGTTGTTTCCAGTTTTTAGCTATGATGAATAAAGCTGCTGTGAACATTCGTTTACAAGTCTTTGTGTAGACAATTGTTTTCTCTTGGTAAATACTTAGTGGTATTGTTGGGTAATATAGTAAATATATGTTTAGCTTTACAAAGTGCTGCACCATCTTAATCTCCCACTAGCAATGTATGAATGTTCCAGCTGCTCCACATTTTTCTCAATATTTAATACTGACAACTTTAAAATATTAGACAATCCAGTGGATATATAGTGATATCTCATTTAGATTTTAATTTGCAATTCACTGATGATATACTATTGAGCATCAGATCTTTCATAATGTACTTTAAAACTATTTTGCTAAGACACATACCCAGCATATGGAAGACCCTCAATAAATATTTGTTGAACTTATACAAATAAATACAGAAAATGCAGCTCATCGAAGGATTTGAGTTAATTTCCTGGCATTTATGAAATACTGAGCAAGTTACCAAATGAGAGCACTTAAGCTAATTCTCAAGTATTTAAAAGAAAGTGTACAGCCTCATCTGTCTACCAAATATGGCCCCCAGGCAATTTGCTCAAGGTCAAATAGTGGTGGAACAATGATTAGAAACCACATTTCGTCATCCTCAATTTAATTCTCTTTATATTTGACTCAGGATAAATGTGAAACATTGATTTTTCATATCATTTTATTGAATTTATGTTTTATTCAATTACTGTTTTGCCACAGTATCTCTCCCTGTTCGTTATTAAAAACTTCAGCTCTTGATAAAAACCTAATCACCTAAAATTTATTTCCTTTCATAAAAATGTATTTCAAGTTCCAGATACTTGATTAACAAATGAACCTTTAAATAAGTGTTTATTTGGGGAAATTAACATATTAGGTAGCAACTTTGTTTCCCATCTTATTATTTTATAAACAATTAAAAATTAACCAATTCAAAGGTGAATTGCTTTAAATAAGAAGTGATCTATGTATCAGCTCTGAGGCCTGTAATTGCATTTAGCTGTAACTTAAATGAGTTGTTTGTGTGCTGTGTGCAATTAACTGAAAGTCTGGGATGCTCCGTTGCTCAAGCCAGGGCATCAGTACCATTTAAATGCTTTGTTAAGATCAAATAGCCAGCAAGAAACAATTCAATAAATGTCTCT